TGGTTCGGTTTTTAAGTTGCGTGGGAAGGACTTGCCTATATAAGGAGGCACCGTGTCTGTTGTTCTTGTGGTGAGAAAACAGATAGAAACTTGAGGAATTTGAGAGAGAAGGTGATTTCTTGAGGGAGTTGGTGTTTTGGAGGCAAGTTCTGTTCGGTTTCGGAAAGGGAGTCGAACAGATGGAAAGATCGGATCAGATTGAAGTGAAACTTTGAGGGTAAGTTCTCCACTCTTTGATCTTGATATAGGCTAAAACCGTGTGTCAATCGGTTGTTATACTGTGAGAGATTTGTGCAGTTTCGTGCTGCGAGCAATCCACTTTGGGGGAGAATTCCTGTCGAACTAGGAGGATTCAGCGGACGATCTACGTACCGTTGTGTAGCACTCGCGGTCTAGGATACATAAGTCATAAAGTAGGCCCTAAACCCAACTGATAAGACACGGCTTGAGCAATCTTCCAAAAAACTAACACGTGGGCCGTTACGTTAAGCATTAACGGCAGTTTCGTTTGACTAAGGTTTTGTTACCAAAGTTACAAAAAAAATCGAATCTTTCAATTCCTTTCCTTTTGCAAAAAGAAGAAAAAAAAAATTTATTTTCTCCATATCTACACCATTCGATCTTTCATCTCGTTCTCGTCGACCCACCATTTGCTCCAGACTGCATTGCTCCGGGATGTCTAACACTAACAGCACGGATCAGGCGCAACCACAGCCGGAGAACACGGCTCATCCGGTGGAATCGAGGCCGCGGAAGCGTGCGTCGCCGGCGGGGGATAACTGGCTGCCTCCTGGTTGGAGAACCGAAGCGAAGACTCGAACCTCCGGCACTAAAGCTGGTGTTGTGGATAAGGTGAAATCTCATCTCTGACAATTCCTTTCTCTTTCAATTCTTCAGCTACGTCTTCTTTCATTGAATTTTCCAGATTAGCCACTCTCTTAGAATTGGAATCATGTTGTCGGATTGTGAAAATTGACGGAGTATATCATCTGTATAACTGGAATGTTATGTTGTTTGTTGATTTCGATTGCAAATTTTCTTAGTTTTCATGATAATTGGTCTTATGGGGTTTAGACTATTATGATCATCATATTGTTATATATATTTGGAGACTACAAAGGAAGGATCTTGTTTTTAACAAGTCTTAAGTGGAATGTTGTTAATATGTGAAGAATGCAATTTGAGATTCAGCTAAAAGAATGACTTTGTTTTGTTTAGTTATGGATGCGATTGCGTAGATGTGTGAATTTAGTCGTTTCTTTCCTATATACTCTGTTTGAAGGATATTGAAGTTGAATATTGCTCACCATTTCTGGAAAAATATCGATAATGCAATATTCTTTATTTTGTAATGTAGTTCTACTTCGAACCCTCGGGTCGTAAGTTTCGGTCCAAGAACGAGGTGTTGTACTACTTGGAACACGGAACGCCTAAAAAGCCCGGCAAGAAAGCGGAAAACAGCGACATGTCATCCGAAGTGAGTCAGAGGCATTTATGTCTTTCTAACTTTATTACGAGACATCAGCTTGACGTTTAAACCCGTGTTTTTCACATTTTTGTAGCATTCTGAAGGCCAAGTAAGCAATAAGCGGCAGAACAAATCCAACCAAACAGCAAATGAGCAGCCACCGCCACCGCCAAAGCCGTTGAACTTTGATTTTCTGAATGTGCCGGAGAAGGTGATTTGGACCGGCACAAACGGTTCAGAAGAAGATTGGTGGCCTGTCATTGGGGACTACAAGATTGAGGAACCTGTCAGCGAAGATTGGCACAGAGCATTCACTCTTGTCACCGCTCCAAGGGATGGAAAAGCAACGTTTTAGAAGAATGGGTGCAGCAACTCTCAAATCAAATGTAATGAGAATCATATCTACTTAGTATTTATTTACTGATCTTAGGTTGGATTTATGTTCATTTGCCTAAAGGTTGCAATGCAGGTTAATTTAATACTCATCAGGTGATAGTTTAGTAACTCTTTAATTTGGGTTGGTAAACTTGTAATCTACCTTTTTAGCGTTTTCTTCTTCGGCAGTCCATGTCATTTTTATTGCGTCTGCGTTTTGGAACGTACTATATAGTATTTTGAGAGAATCCCTGAGTAACAAAGGTATGAAAACTGAGGTTGGATGCGTGGAGATGGCATCTTAGTTCCCTCTGCTTTGAATTGTAAATCGGAGGAGGATCAGTAATGTAAGAAACACACTGACATAATTGGAAGGTCAGTATCTTCAAAATATTTACTATTTCATATATAATTAGTTTTGTGATATAAACAAAAGCGTCTGTAGTCCAACGGTTAGGATAATTGCCTTCCAAGCAATAGACCCGGGTTCGACTCCCGGCAGACGCATTGTTTAAG